CCTCACCTATGTAAAAATAAAGACAATAGCCTCTAAAGTGCTCTAAGCAAGAATAGGCCAATTATGTTAAGGGGTAGGCGCCTATTGATCTTTATGCACAAGCTGAGAATAACAAAAAAATTTGTTTGCTCTTTAACAGGGAAATTAATTCCCAAGGCCGTCTTCAGCTATATATGGTCTTATTTTTTACATAGAATCCAGAATTATTTCGTATGCAATATGCCCTGTGTAAAAAGAAAAACCCCAAAAAGAGCAATAAAATCAAAACAATCGAATAAATAAACAATCGGCAATCACATGACGATCAGATGACAACACATCATCGATCGATAACAGAAAATTTCCAAATCCGTAATTTCTGATTTAGAAATTCATTTACGTATCAAATTTGAATATCATATCTAAATCAGTAATTCTAATTTGGAAATTCATTCGGTTAATAATATTACCAAATTCATTGAACGATATTTTTTAGATATTAATTTTTTAATATTAAATCTCATCGGTTAAATTAATTTTTCTAAACAAAGTAATTTTATTTAAGTATTAATAATTTAGTGAACCAACCGAAATATTGTGCTACAATATTAAATTTAAATATCAAATTAAAAAAAAAAAAACAAAAAATAAGAACTGAATTATTTTACAACGTTTACTTTTAACAAGGTAATAATATATTTATTTGCTTTTTTTAACAAAATAATAATGTTAATAATAATAAAATAGATGGAAAAACAAGAACTTGGATTTCAAGACTACATTATTGAAGTTGAAGAACGTGTTAACATTAAAATTCTTTTTTTTAAACGAGGCAAAAAGGAATTAAAATATATTCCAAAAAATATTATTTGCAAGAATCTATCAAATAAGAATGAATTTATTGAAAGTGATAATGTTAATGGACGAGAAGGGTTTATTATTTCAAAATATCATAATTATGCTCTAACTTTAAATAATTGTTCTATTTCAATTATTGGAGAAAGGAATTGATATCAAAAACATGTAAATTATTATAATGTAATTTATAGTTTTATTTATATTCAATAAAATATAAGCCTGATTTTTTTTTATAAGGTTCAATAACATTATTATTGTTATCATAAATTAAAACCCCAGGATTTAAAATCTCTTCTCCTGTTTCTAGTAAAAAAATTATCTTAAAAACATGTTCAATATGAGGGATATTTGTCAATCCAACAGTGAAATCAATTTTATTGATTTTTTTAATTTCAAACTTGTTTGCCATTTTTATTTATATTATAAGAAAGCATTCTGTATTTATATAAAAATAAATTAATTATAAATTACAGGATATCCATTTCGATTACCAGTTTTTTGTTAAATTTATATTAAGCGTATAAATAAAATAAAAAAATATTCTTTAAATTATCGATTTATAACTAGATAGTTACACAACATTTGTGAGATCATTATATATTTTTTAATTAATTAAAAATGCCGATTCAAAAGTATGAACATCCTTTACGATTTCAACCTTATCAAATATTAAATCGATAAACAAACACCTAAAAGAGCAACAAAATCAAAACAACTGAATAAGTAAATTAATTTTATTTTATTTTTCGTCATGTCTCAAAATTTTCCTCAACCTATGGATATAGATATAATCGAACAAATTATTGATGCCGAAAAATTAAAAGAGCTATATCCAAAAATTTTGTTTTTTTTTTTGGAGCTAGTTATGCTAACGAAATTGAAAAAAATGAAGAAAATGCATTCAAATGTTATCTGTTATCATCCCAACTTGGGCTTCCAGAAGCGTTATTTTTTGTAGAAAAATGTTATTATATGGGACAAGATGTTAAAAAAAATAATAAGAAGGCGTTAGAATATTTCACAAAGGCTTATAATAACAACTATTTTGCAGCTAAATTTTTTATGAATGGATGTAAACAGGATGTGTTTAAAGATGAAGAAAATTTTAAGTTTTAAAATCGAAGAAAACAAAAATGATGATTCTTCTTTTTTTGTTAAACTTGGTAAATGTTATGAGGATGGAATTGGTATTCTATTATAGATAAATTTAAATAATAATTTATTTTTAATTAATTAAAAAAAAGTATTACTCACTTTAAGCATTACAATGAAAAGTTGGTAAGAGTACGTTGAAAATTCCATTTTTTTATTATAAAAATTAGTGTATTGATTTTTAATAAATAGTTGATAATTACTTGTTACTTAATTCTTTTTATTTGAAAGAAAAATAAAAATATGTGACAAACATAGATTTATATAAATTTTATTAATATAAATAAAATAAATAAAAATAAATTTAAATTATAAAATTTAAACTAATTTGTTGATAATAAAATAACCAATTTTTTGCATTGCTTCATTATTGTTTATTTTTGCAGCTTTCAAATAATAGTCATATGCTTTGTTAATTTAAATATATTTAAAATTAATTTTAATAAATATATAAAATTAAAATTTTATTTGTTTTCCGTTTAAATTTCCTGTAATTTGGTCATGAGTCAATTTAAAATCTATAGCGAGCTGTTTCGCTTGTTCGTTAGTTCTGTTCTTTGTAATACCAAACCATTTAAATTTATGTTTGTTATTTTCAATCCATTTAAATTTCCAACCATTTCTAGATTTATTGAAAAAAATTCCATTATAACCAGATCGATTATTTTTTCGAATATTACAATTTAATTGATTTTCTTTTGGTGTTGTTTTTCGTAAATTAATTTTTCGATTATCAAGTCCATTTCTGTTGATATGGTCAATCATTTTCCATTTAGATTGA